ACTGGTCAACATTAACTGAAAACCCCAATCAATGGGGCGGCTATAATGTTTTCCGTGGCGTTCCTTATCAACGAGGTAATGGATTGGGGTCAGTTTTTAGAAGTTTTCTTCGTTATTTAATCCCGATTGGTAAAGAAATTGGTAGCGCTATTGGAAGACAGGGTTTAGAATCCGGTAATCGAGTTTTAAGCAATGTCTTAGAGGGAAAAAATCTTAAAGAATCTCTTGTTACTGAAGGTAAATCAGGCTTGAAAAATTTATTGCAAAAAGCAGCTGAAAATGTTGATAAACAAAGTGGAAAAGGTTTTGATTTTAAACGATACAAAAATATAGAAAAGTCCCCTGCCATCGGGCAAATGAATGACGCAATTCCAGATCTTAAGCCAAAAACTATAAATAAACATCCATATTCTCTAATCGGCCCTCCTAATTTTATTCCTACTTTTAAAAAGAAAGATTCTAAAAAATCTAATAAAAAATCCCGCCCGCAAAAACGACTACGAGTAGACACGTTAGGAACATACTAAAATGAGTTGCCCAAAACAAATTAATGAAAACAGCCCTTTGGCACTGAATAGCGCATTAAGTATTTTTTCTGTACCTCCTACAAACGTTTCTGTTGTCCGATCCTTTTTTAGAGAAATTCTCCCACTTAGTACAATAACACAAGATTCTCCGTATTTGTTTCGATTGTTCAGTGATAATCTTTGGACTGACTTATCTCGAACTTATCTTTACCTCGAGCTATCCATTGAAAAGTTGGGAACTACTGGTAAATGGGTAGATATTGAAGCAACCGATAATAGCATTGGATCGATTCAAGGTATTGGACAAACATTTGTTCAACAGTTGAAGGTGACTGTTGGTAATACAGAGGTTTACGATAGTGGTACTCTTTATCCTTACAAAGCATATATTACTAATGAGTTGTCATTTCCAGACAACGTTAAATCACATTTTCTTGCATCTATCGGATATTATAGAACTGAAAAGCATGATGATCCTACAGATGATGGTTTCAAAAATCGCTGCTCTATTTTTGCAAACGGTAAACGCTCACAATTCCTTTCGCGCCTTGATTTTGATTTGGGGAATCAAGAATTATTTCTCCTTAATAATTTAGATATTCACTTTAGCATTTACAAAAGTAAGGATGCTTTTATATTACAAAATATCAAAGAAGGTGACAGTAATCAATATAGACTTTATGTCCACGACGTTAAATTATTTTCGAAAATGGTTGAAGTGCAACCATCACTTAATATGAACATTTATAAGACTCTTGAATCTAAACCTGCTACGTATGCTGTTCGCCGAACTGAAATGAAATCTACCTATCTTACTTCAGGTCGGACAGAAATTGAATATAATGCCTTCAGCTCGGCTATACCGCGGCGCATTACTGTTGCCTTAGTTTCGAATAAAGCCTTTAATGGTGACATTGCTCTTTCTCCATTCAATTTTAAACCATTTGATATTAGGGATATCTCGGTTCATACTGGCGGGCATATTTATCCTATGGTCGCTTATAAGCTAAAGTTTGCCCAAGACTTATTTGTTAGGGCTTTTGTCGACATGTATGAAGCTCTTGGAATGGCTAATTCAGATCGTTCCATTGATATTTCAATGTCACGATTTAAAAATGGGTGGACCTTTTTTGTAATACCTTTGACATCGACGCTCGATGACTCCTGTGGTTTTGAGCTTCTCAAAAGTGGAACTACTAGTATTCGTTTAGAATTTAATACTCCCATTCCTGCTGGAGGTGTTGAAATGATTATTTTAGGCGAATTTGATCAGATGATTATGATAGATTACAATAGACATATAGTTACAGATTCAAATCTAGGTTGAAAAGTTGTATAAATAATGATAATTTAAAATATATTAATTTTTGAAATGCAAAATATTTCCAATACTACTCAGAATATAACATTCGAATTTTTAAAAATTGCTAGCACGAATTTACAAAATAATGCTTTGGATCCCACTGTAGCTTATGGGATACCTTTATTACTACTACTTCATTTCATTATTCTCCCTATGATTTTAATCTGTTGGATCTTACTCCTTCGAGTTCTACGTAAACTAGGATTCATAACTTCTGCTGAAGAAACCAACATTGTAAAAAATATTAGCGAGATACCTTTAGGAAATTTGCAAAGAACTTAAAAACATTAGAGGCTCATCGAACCTTTCCTGAAAATGTTTGGCTCTCAAATGTTCTTCGCCGCGGAACGTCCTGAAAGGTTTTGGTTTTGTCTACTGTAGATGGGGGAGGAAGGGGTATCAATAGGATCGGGTACAATTTTAATTTATTGATTAGTTAGAACAGGACAGCTCTGAAGAGACTGCCTATTTGGGGAGAGAAAAAAATTTTTTCTCTGACTTCTCTCACCCAATAGGCAGTCTCTTCAGAGCTCTCTTGTTCTAACTAATCAATAAGTTAATAGGGGTAATATAGTAGTGATACGTGGATGTCTATTATTTACAAATCCATAATTAAGAATAGAAAGGTCAGAAGGGCGAATAATTCCCTTACTGACAACGGGCTTATACAATTTATGTTGTGGTTGGGAAGTGACACGACCATCTTTAATAGATGGTCGCAAAAAATTTGGGTAAATAATATCTATTGGGTTATTTTCCCCAGTTCTTGCATAGTAAAGTACCTGCTCCTTGAATGTGTTGTACTGCAGGCCCTGGTTGTTGAGCACATCCCAGTTCAACGTCATTCCTCTTACTTTGAGGACATATTCTTTGTCATCTCCAAGTTGGTTCTTCCGTTGAAGTTGTAGACCATACTGTTTTGCTCCACCACAGCAATACTCCAAAATGTTGTGTGCTGGATACTCATCAGTCAGCTCTCCCAGATGTGGCCCCAAATGTAGAGGGCAGTTGTTGATTGGGTGAGAAAAAATCAGGGAGTCGGTGTCGGTATAGAGAAGTTTGCAGCCAGTTGTCCGGACCACTTTCTGCATTGCCCGAAGCAAGTGAAGGCGGGCTGCTGACGTTGTCCATAAAGAGATGACAACGTTGGAGCAGTTGTGCTCCTCAATCCAATCTTTCTTCTTGATGTAAGTGATGAGCAGTATTTCGTCTGTGAGTTCATCCAGTCCAGTAATTTCAATAGATTTGTCGTTGTAATATTTATGAAGTTCTGCAGGATTGTCGGTGATTGCACACTGTGATAGTCCAAAGTTTCTTAAAGAAAATCTCCCCCACAAATTATTTAACATTAATTTGGCTTGAGTCCGCTTCCCCTTATTAGGCCCCATTTTACTCTCTCTATATTGATACCAAACTTCTCCTTACACTCCTTTATGAACTTTTCCTCTTTTTCAAAATTCCCCTTCATACAACTATCGAACCCCGATGAGTGAATTTTTTGCGCCATGAATTCACTGATGTATGGAGCAAACAATTGATCATCCGAGCAGTCATACTCCAAAACCCTGAAAACTTTGGTCACAACATATCCTTCCTCCAATGCTGCATTCAGTTCAAGTGATGTGCAGGTGCTAACCCATCCACGTTGTTGATCTGAGTGTGGACAGGAGTAGTTCTCATTTACTTCTCCTTCAGGATTTTCCCTTGCACATTGGGAGCAAAGTGGAAAAAGTAACCTCTCATCATCTTCGCCAACTTTCATTGGGAGTACAGGGACATCAATACTCCTGGGTGGAATGACAAAGACTTTGAGGATTGCCAACTCAAAGTTGTTGTCCTCTGGCCTACTCCAACGAACATCTTGATTGAGGATGTGTACCTTCGGGTGCCCCACAGGATATTTCGTAGAAACATTGATAAAGGGGTACAGGGAGGTTACGTCGTAGTATGATATTTTCTCTCCCTCTGCTGGTTTGTAGAAGAGGGAGAGTGGACCAGTCCGTCCACCAAAAAAGCACGCACGCAAATCAATTGGTCCATCGTCCAAGTACTTTTTGAAACTACCCCTCATTTCTCGGTCTTTATCCAACATACTTCTTATCTCGCACTCCCAAAAAACTTGAACATTTACACCCTGACTTTTGATGAACTCCAACCTTCTTGCATCCTTCTCCCGCTGTTTTCCAGCTGTCAGTCCATTAGGCAGAACTGCGTTGTCTTCAGGGTAACAACGTTCACACCCATGCCATACACAACCATTTACCTCAATCCCCAATTTCTCTTCTTCAATCCAACCATCCAACTTGTAGTTGCCAACTTTTTTCTCCCCTCCATCTGAGTGTGCAGTCTGGATTTTAACCCCATTCTCTTCCTCATACCACTTCATAAATTTGAGGGCTAGACGACTCTGATTATCCACATTGTCGTACCCTTTCTCCGGAACCAGAGCTAGGTGGTTTTCTTTGAGGTGATTTGTCCTAAAATGGTTCATACACGCAGACGCTATTGTCATGGACTCCCTCAGAACATCAATACCGTTGTGAGCCTTATTTGATGCGGCTCTTTGACAAGGCCCCCTTTTTGTTACATCCATAAATTCCCTTCTGAAAGCTATAAGTGCAGCAAGTAGAATTTCTACGTCGTTTGTGCAATATGACGCCAGCTCCTCATCCAAGAAGAATGGTTGCTCCTTGTGTTGATCATACCATTGGTCGAACTCCTTTCTCTTCTCCGGCATCATCCCATCCGCAAAGTAGTCTGAAGGGATGGGGAACACCTCCTTTCCATAATTTTTAGGTTGATTGGTGAGGTGAGGAAAGAACGGCTTGTCCTCGACATCAAGCGCAAAAGCGGGGACAAGAGATGCCAAAGACATTGGCATCAGATTGAAGCTGTCCCTAAAGATTAGCATACTTTTTTTACCAATTTTCACTTTCATCTCATACATTTTGTTCCCCCTCTTCAGCATTTCAGGAGTAAAACCCAGAAGAAACAACTCTCTGAAGACTATTACCATATCAAACTTCCCTCCGAAATGTGAAAACGCCATAGTGTCATACTCTGTTGTGATTTCAATTATCCATTTGACAAATGAGATGATTGGGTCTTTGGTGATTTTCTGAAGATCCACGTGCGTTTTGGAAAAGGGGCGCTCAGAAAAGGTGACTAGCCTATTACTCCCGCAAACATTACACTGCTCCTCCTCCTCTTCAATACATTTAGGACAGGTTACTCTTGCTGCGATGAAGTTTGCTTGGTGATTCCTTTTGTTGCCAGATGAGACATGTTGCATGGTCTCGAGGTCAAAAGCCACAAATCGGTAAGGCTTTTGAGCTTTTGATTCCAAAGGCTTAATAAAACAGCCTCGCTTCGGATCGTGATACCCATTACATATTGAACAATATCTTTCATTACAAACATGACCATTTCTTCCTCCTCTGGTGTTGTTTTTTGTGTCCCAAATTACTCCACAGTTCTCACAGCGTTTTGACTGTTGACAAAATCCTGAACTTAGATGGTGGTCAAAGCAGTCCTCATTGATAAATTTCTTCAAACATCCATCACATTTTTTCAAAAAGTTATTCCTAGGGGGACAGGGGTAAAGTGGACCAACACGAGAGCAATTCAGACAACGCGCTCTGCATGAAATAGAATGGCTTTGGGGGCGTTCATACACTGTTTCACACTCCAAACAATATGGTTGCCCAAAAAGACCTCCCGTACTCGTTACACCGTTAAAATGTGACCCATCAAAATAGAGGAGGATGGGTGAATTATAATTTTCGGGCCCATATTTAAAACAAGGCTTATAATGCCCCAGGCAATCAAAAATAAAAATTTTAAAACAAAACCGGCCTGAATACTTCTCATTCCAGAAGTCAGCTACGGGAGGAACCCACTCCTCAGCATTGTACTCCTCTCGGCCAAGAGGAGCGCCAACTTTCTCCATAAGCTCCATTGTTTCCTTCTCAAATTTTCCTCTTTGGCCATACCTTCCATGAATATATTCGTAGAATTGGGATCGAGACATGTTGCCAATCAGTCGTACAAGTGCTGCTAATAAGGAATAAAATAAGCAATATCCGTCGTTGTTGTTGATTTTGATCAGATTCTGCTGTTTGATTTGATGATGGACAGGAGCAAGTTTTCGTGGTGCTCCTCCAATAATGTTGTTTTCATTGGACAAGTTTTTCTTGTCAACAACCATCACATTAACTGAAAAAGGTTTTCCCCAAAGGGTGACTCCCGCCTGTTTTTTACTCTGGGAAACCTTATTAAATTGGTTAAGCAGGGTATTAAAAGTGTTCTGGGAGGTGGGCCTAAGGGGGATCCAAATATCTGAATCTAATAACTCACTTGATAATGTGCAACCCAGCTCCTCTGGAACAAGTCCATTATTTTTGGCGTTGTTCACTGCTTCATTAAAGCAGTGTTGGAATATCCCAGATAATAAGGCCTCAGGGTCGGCCGGGATATTACTGATTAAAAATTTGGAGTAGTTTTTGGTGATTTTAAATTTGCTGATAAATTTTGTTGAATTTTCAAGCTGCTCAATATATTGTTGGGGAGCAGCTTCTCCTCCTGCTTGATTAATAGAGAGGAGGTTGTCGATGAAGAACGCTCTTGCGCGTTTTGTTGGTGGGCAATAATCCATTATGAAGCAAAAATTTAAAAAATTAAAACAAAAAGTGAAAATTTAAAGCAAACTATGAAAAAAAGAAAAAGCAAGAATCAATATGAATATTGATTCGGAATGAAAAAATTATGAAATTAAGGGACAATTAAATTTAAATAATTAATTAAATTAAAAAATTGATTAAAAGTTGTAAAAAATTTTTTTAAATGTGAAAAAATGAGTAATAATCAATAATGAATATTGATTCAAAAAGAATAAAAATTAAAATAAAGTGAAATTGAAATTTAAATTAAATTTAAAAAATTAAAACTTAGTGAATAAAGTTTAAAAAAACTTGAATATTAAAAAATAATAAACTTAAGCAAAAAAACCTAAGAAACTTTTAAATTAAAAAATTAAAAATTAATTAAATTTAATTAAATTTAGGAGAAAAGTTTTCACTAATGAGTGAAAAGTTTAAAAATGTAATTGAAATTAAATAATTTCAATTAAGTAAAATTAAAAAATTTTAAATAAAATAATTTTATTAAAAATTATTTAATAATTTTATTAAAAATTATTTGATAATTTTATTAAAAATTAAAATAAAAATTATTTTTTATTTTTTAAAAAATGAAAAGAATGATAATAAAATGGATTTTTTCCTCGTTTTTATACTCGCTCTTTCGCTTCGATAAAAATCGATTAGTTGGCGTTTTTATTCTATTCAAATTACGCGTTTGCTTTTTTATTCAAATATTGACATTCAAACGATTGGCAAAGAGCCAAATGAAGAGAGATGAAGAAAAAATAGATAGCAGCTGTCGGAAAAGTATCGACTGCTTAAAAGGAAGGAAAAAAGATAAAAAGGGAAGAAAAGTGTGGCGGCAGTCGGAAAAAAAGAAAAGGACTGACCGGCTGTAAAATAAAGAAAAGGGAATAAAAGGAGAATTTAGGAAAAATTTTAAATTTTCTTTTGTCGGCAAATCAAAATAAAATCATTGGCTGCTGAGAAAGAGAAGAAGAAAAGAGAGAAAATAAGCGGCGGCTGTCGGGAAAAGAGAAAGCTGACCGGTTGTAAATAAAAGAAAGGAGTTAAAAGAGCGGCGCAAGTCATAGGATTAAAGTGGCAGCGGCCTTTGTGGAAGCAAAGTGTAAAAATTAAATCAATTAGAAATATAAATATTATGTACATACAAATTGTCACAAAAACTGAAAAAAAATAGTTGAAACAGATTTACAAACTGAATATTGACATTAACAAACACTATTTGATTGATTAACTACAAAGTTTGATAAAGGAGTGACAGCTCGGGTAACCCTTTTCAGTAACAGTCTTAGTAATCACTTGTTGATTGATACGTACAGGATTAGTACAAATTACTCCTAAAATATGTCGCATACCTGGATTTACAATCACATACACACAAACATGACAAGATTACATGATTATTGACACACAAGTTTACATGCTTAAATTTGTAATTGACAACGGGAATAGTAATGATTTACAAATTAGTAGACTAATTACGTACAACCTTTTTCTGACTACTCCCCACGATAGTGCTGATCTATTCCTTTTAGTTTTCCCACTACACTATTTCTTTTATCTGACCCTCCGACGCTGCCGATATGCCCATTCCTTTTGGTTTTTCCCACTATACTCTTTTTCTTTGTCTGACCCCCGACACTGCCGATTGCCCACTCCCTTTTGATTTTTTGCCGCGCGACTCCCGACCTGCCCTCTTCCTTTTGGTTTTGTCGGACCCCTCCTCCCCCCGACGGTGTTGTAAAGGTACATGTTTACAAGGGATTACAAGCCCCGACGGTGACTGGGGTTTAACTACTGATATATGTAATACAGCTTAGCCAAAACCATAGTTCGGCTCCCAAAAATATGAATACTTTGTCGTGTCGACAATAGGTTGCACGACCATATGCATGAATAAAAACACAAAGAAATTAATTAACATTATTTACAAACGCATAAATCATTGCTAGAATTTAAGTGGGGACTTGAGAATTTATTAAAAATTCTATGGGTAAACTATCTTAACTAATGAGATTTCCAATTAATATTTTAGCAATGAAATGCATTGCTTACAAAAATACGTATATAACCTTTGGTAAACGCTACTTGATTAAATTTTGTTTATCTTATTTAATACTGAATATGTAATAATAAATACTTTTCATTTATCCATAAGGCCCGACAGTAAATAACCAAATGGTAAAGATCAGGGATGCCTCCGCGTTTTAAAAATCAACAGATAAACTCGGAAGTGGACGACCAAAAAAGGCAGAATTCTGCGAAGGCTGGAGCTTTCAATATTGGAGACCGGACTAAGAGGGTGGTACTAGTAGAATCGAGATTTCAATAACCGAGATTTTTGTTTGAGATATCTTCTCAGTCCGATTTCTAATAAAATCCCCCGTTCGAACCATTTCTTAATCAAAATTAATTTTGACAATAAATTACACTCGCTTTGTGTTTATTTCCAAATTTATCACTTTTTCTCCTCCTTCCATTATTTTTGTAACAAATTTTCTTTCAACACTTCATCATCTTTACTGCACATTTTTACATTTATTTCTTGTATTCCCCCCCCTCTCTTATAATTATAAAAATATTTCTTTTTTGCATTTCTTTCATCAAGGAATTACAATTAGGTAAATGTAATAAATTTATTATTTACCTATTGGGTGAAGCTAAATGTTAGTGATGCCTCTCACCACTCCCAAAAAATTTAGAAATTTCAATGGAGAACATTCCCGTTTATAATACATGTTTATTGTCATTTTAACTCAAGAATTAATTAGAATATTGGATATCATGTAAATTTGTGACTTTATGGATATCCTATCCCTCCTAGCTCGAGTTACAGTTTTCCTTAATATATATAATGGTCAGACTTCCTTCCTCAATTCCTTTATTTACCTGCACATCATCAAATGAGAGATCATAATGGTATTTTAAAGAAAACTTTGGGTCAAATAGAGGGGAGGGTCCGGTAGAACTACAATTGCGTGCGAGATTGCAGATAACGCAATTCCGGATCATTTCGGACAATAACTGCGGACGACAATTACCAATATAAAATTTGAAAAAAAATTAAGATTTTTTAAAGTTTTCAGAGTCGTATCAGTCTAGAAAGGATTATGAAACTCTCAGAAGCTGGAAACTGACAGCCAGAACTAGAAAACACAATATCATTTGAAGAATTTAAAAAATGGTTAAATCCGAATTCACGTAGCCGCAATTTCTGGGATATCAATAAGGTATATAAGATTTATCAGAATATTCTTCCAAAATTGTTTTTACTTTTTCTTCCAAAAAATTAAAGGGAAATTTAAATGAAAGTCTGGTATTAGTTTAGTCGTTTAGTGCACTCCTTTTTCGGTTTTATTATTTTTTGGTGAAATTTTTATTACTTTTTTACGTTAAATCGCGTTAAATTTTAATATTTTTTCGATTTTATGTTACCCAAGTCTTCCTTTTGAAATTTATTTGTTTCAAATGATTATCGTCTTTTATGCATTCTTAGTAATTTGAGTATTCTTTTCCGTATTTTTATTGCCTAACAGTTAAAAATTCCTCCAAAATTACTTAAAAATATTTTTGGTTTTTAATTTAGCATTCGTTATATTTGGCGATGCTTTCTAAAAGTGATGCAGAAATTCCAAAATTTTGCCGGTTCCAGTTCCTATAGCTGCCAAACTATCAAAGCGAAATACTCTTTCAATTGGGGTAGTTGTACCTGGAAAGGGACTAAAACTACCCCAACCTTGCCTGCTTTTCCCAGATCTAATTATTATTTTAGGTATTTGTTCTGGATTTCTGACCTGAATGATTTATAGATATTAACATATTTCAGCCTTATATCCCTAGAAAACTAATCCTTAAACAATGCTGAAATATTTAGTGATGTTATCATCACTTCCAAAAAATCTTAGTTCAATATCGAAAAACTACTATCCAAAATCGTTTCTTCCTTTTTTCTTCCAGGCTAAAAAAACTAAAAGAAAATTCACGGAATAAAAACTGTATTATTAAATTTTGTGTGCGTATGGCAGATCGTTTCTGCTCATGAACTATGGACATTTGATTGGAGTTGGTATATATATTCAAACAAAGTCAAAATTCTAAGATATTTAATATTCTAATTAAAATACTATTTAGGTTAAAATGATAATCAAAATGTTGTATGAGTACCACTGTTCGATGATGTATAATGTCATTTTTTGGAAGTGATGATAACATCACTAAATATTCGAGTACTTTTATTTATGGCACCTCTAACCTACCTCTGCTTTTAATAAGACAAAATTTTAATTTTTTGATGTAATCATTAATGCTCCACCCGGTTAGCCGACTTTTGCGGACCCGCACTTGCGGACCGACATTTGCGGATTCGCACTTGCGGACCGACACTTGCGGACCCGCACTTGCGGACCGACACTTACGGACCGACTTTTGCGGACCGACACTTGCGGACCGACATTTGCGGACCCGAAATTAATTTTTAAAAAATAAGTAAAAAATAAGTACCCACTGACTGACGGACCCAAAATCGAGTCCGCCAGTGGGAGCAGAGGTACGCTATTCTTCGAAATCCCTACGCTATTTTTCGGATTACCGTTAATACTACCAGATAAACTTATATCACCTTTACATCTCTAGGTTTTCCAAGCTCACGCCCAAATACCTCGAGATTACTTTAATCCCATCAGATCACCTATATCCTCCGAATCTACCTTAATTATGGTTCAGGTCCCTGCTCTACAATAAAACTAACTTTTTTAAAAGTGTCTGCCGACCTATTTTATAAAAAAATTTTTTATTTCCTTTCGGGTCCGCAAATGTCGGGTCCGCAAGTGTCGGTCCGCATATGTCGGTCCGCAAGAGTCGGTCCGCAAAAGTCGGTCCGCAAGTGCGAATCCGCAAATGTCGGTCCGCAAATGTCGGTCCGCAAGTGCGGGTCCGCAAATGTCGTTTAGCCGCTCCACCCATTTATCTAAAAATAACACAAAGAATGAGTGTGGTCGGAAGAGACAAAGTGTTTCTATATTATTACCCAACCTCCCCCTGCCCAAATTCAAACACTCTTTGAGGGGGAATACATATTGAACCATTAACCTGACCAAGTCGATATCCCGAGCAAAAATCTCGGTTATCAATAATTGAGGTATTTCTACGATCCTCACAGTCCGTTCTCTATATAAAACTCTTTAATTTCTAAAAACATCAATGAACACTAATTTACTATTAATTTCATTTGACCGAGAATTAGTGTTCACAATTATGTGTTCTTTTACTTAAAGAGAAAATGAGACTTCAAGGCCATTTTTTTAAATTATAAACTACAATTTTAATTTTAAAAAAGATCAATAATTAAATTTATTTATAATTTTTGTTGGGCAAACCCCCAATTATTTTTAAAATCCGCAGCCGCAACTGCGTCCAGCCCTCTTCTTAAGCTTTGTATACCGTTCCCGGTTTATCGCAAGAAGCAGGTGATAAAGACCGAAGTGGAAGATTTTTTATAGCCAATTTTGATTAGCTTTCAAAAAATGAACGTCATAGGCTGGATGCATATTATTCTCCCAAATTTATTTTTGTTTTTTTATTAATAACATAATTAATGAAAATAAATATACTGTTGTTAAATTATAAGTGATTTTCTACCTTTTTTCTGATCGCATTGCGTTCGAAAATCCGTATTTTGGGGTAGCAAAAAGCTTTAAACGATTTTTGTTTGGCGGAATATTCTCCATATTTTCTCTATTTTTTGTAAGCTACATAGGCTTTCGATTGTTTAAAAATTTAATTACAATGATATAACAATTAGCCTACTAAAGCTGCTTCAAAATTACAAATTTTTAGCCAAATCTACCGTTCGGCTTTCAAAAATATCATTGCAAAAATATAATATACATAAATATCTATTAACTTATTTATTTAAATATTAATATTTAAATTGAAATATTAATATGTTGCAGATTTGCTACAAATTTAAAAGTTTTCAGTTTTTAATTCAAACTGTTTTGAGTATAATGCTGGTCAAGCTAAGCGTTGTTCTAATCATAAATTTCTTTGCTACGTTTTCGACTTCGATTTAAAAGTTAGAAGATCCTTGTGATTTTCGAAATTTTTTGTTTTGAAACAGCTCTGCCTCCAAAAACTTAATATTTCAAAAAAATCTCGTTCTCCTAAATTTCTATTGCTTTTAACCTTACAAAAATAGCTTTATTAAACTGTTTTTCTATCAAAACAGCTTTTTATTTTTCTAATCGAATTGTTTATTTGGCCCATAAATGCACTGTTGGCCTCTCTCCTTCCATCATTTTCTTCCCTCTCTTCTTCTCCTCTATTTTCTGCCACATACAAAATCATTCCCAGTAAATATGTAAATAGAGAAAGAAGGAAATCAGAGAAAAAAGAATAGAGAAAGAGAAGAAAAGGGCGAATAAATAGTCGCGTCTAGGAGTTGTTTATATATGCGCATTCTACTATAAAAGCCTTCCAACTATTTATTTTTCGTATTTTCCACTCTACTCCCTATTTTCTTTTTCAAATATGAGGAGAGGAAAGACTGTGGGCATCGGCTATTGTCCAAAAGACTTTTAATGGACAGAGGGCGCGAGGCTGTTTTCCACAAAATTTTTTCTCTTTTTCTTTCAACATTCGTTCTCCCAGCAACCACGACATTTTTAATTTTGTTTTTGCATCGATCTATATTTCGCGACTTTTTGTTTTTATTTTTACATTTATTCGCGATAATTTTTATTGTTGGTGATTTTGGATAATTTTAAGGCATGTTCCAATTCCTCAAATAATTCTTCCCTAAATGCCGTTCAGTTTCTAAAACTGTTAATTAATTCCTTCACTTTTTCATTTATATATAATGTCGTTCACTTTATTTGTTTTTCTGTTGTTTCGAATTGTGTTTATTTTTTGGGAGCCAAACTCTAGCCTTGGCTAAATTATATTATTTAATAATTTTAAGAAAAATTTTTTGTGTAAAATCAAAGACGTCCTTACCAAAATACCGTTCAAATAAAATTCTTATGGTCGGATGGTATTGTAATTTTGATAGGAGCTGGATTCGCGGACGGTATTTTGTTGAGAGACAGTCTGGACGATCTTTTATCCAGTTAATATCCGCTCTTCAGCACCCTAATTCTGAGCAAATTCCAGTTATTTTTAAATAATTTCTAATTTATTTAAAGATAATTTTTGGCTTTGATTATTGGTTTTAAATAATGTTGATTATTTTCTTTATTTTTCTATTTATACGTATCGTTGTTCCATTTTTGCCTCCTGAGCCTTTGCCATAATGCGTGTATTTTTGGGAGCCAAACTCCAGCTTTGGCTAAATTTTATATTAAAATGTTTATGAATAGCTTTCTTTATCTGTTCCTTGAATGCTAAATTTTTAAATAATTTTTACTAATTCTTTTTCACGTTCATTTTCCTCTTAACAAGAAAGGATTTAATTTCTTTAAATCTTATTGAAAAATTAAATAAGTCGGTATAACCCAGGTGGAAAGCAGGGGTGGGCTGAGTCTCGTATCTCGTATTTTGCCACGAGACACGAGATATTTTCAATCTGTTTTACAAAAAATGTCGAAAATTTCGGATTAATTTAAGATCCTAGAATTAGGAAAAAATGAAAAAATCTTGCCCATTAGTCTTCCAAAATTCTCAAAATTTTCGCCTGCGGCGCTGAAATAGAAAAATGGATGAAGTTGGTCAAGCGGGAAATATCGGTGGACCTGAAGAGATAAAAGAATATCGGGCATTTACAGGGATTAAAGTGAATTTAAAAAGATATATGGTGATTCGGAGGGATATCTGTGAATCGATCAATTTTGAGAGAAATTAGTGGATTGTGAGGGAAAATGTATAGAATACCGACCACAAAGGAATATGGACAAATTATATATCAATCAAAAGAGTTCGTCGAGACGAGTCGAATGACACCAAAATTATTTGCGGGGAGTCTACGGGCGCTGGGTCTGGGCTCGTAACATAAACTTATGCCTATCTTAGCTGCGGTCGGCATGCCTGGCATCCTCCGCTGCAGCAAAAACCTGCACGTGGACCAAAGGTACGGAGCCAAAACAAATGCTCATAACTTTGTCGAATCAAGTCGGATTTAGCTGATTTT